AAAATAGGGGTAATATGATCCTTGAAAAGTTTTTCCACAACTCCTTCTTTTAAATGGAGTATGATTATAAAGTATATATATGGAAACCTCGATACTTATAGTCAGTAGTTAGGCTCCACAAAATAGGTTAACTTTACATTATAGTTTGCTATTTGTAGTACTATTGGTAATGTCATTATCTTTCCTCTTTATCTTATTATTCACACTTTTCTTATGTAAGTTCTCTTTTTCTAATCAATCAATTGATTATATTTTATTTTTATAATATCAGAGGTTAGAATATTCTCTTCTATTTAAAAAGTGTTAACATGATTTTTTTTTTAAATATATACATATAGTAACAATAGTATATACTTCAGTGCAACTCAAACATTAGCTTGAAACCATTTAGAGTGAGGTTTTTTCTATACTAGAATGGTGATATAGTGATTACACAGTCTAAAAATCAAAGAAGAAATTTCTACAAATAAAAGTAATTTAATATGTCAAATTAGGAACTAATTTATAAAATATACATGGACAGTGCAGATAGCTATAGAAAGTAAGGTATATATCTTCGTAAAAATTTCATAGTGAGTGACCAACTACAATCATCCTAATTTAAACATAAATAATTATTATTTTAGTTACTAATTTGATACGCGTAACTATAGAATAAATCTCCAGCAAAAAATAGGAATTGAGATTGTATTATGCTAACTAATTTGATACGCGTAACTATAGAATAAATCTCCAGCAAAAAATAGGAATTGAGATTGTATTATGCTATAGGTAAATAAATAAATCCTATTAAAGCTGATCTTTATATTGAATTTAAAAGTAATAATTTAAATTATCAAGCACAAAGTGTTAGCTCATGTGAAAAAGTAAAGTAATCTATGGTCTATATATGTATATAGTCACTCAATCAAACGTATTAAAATTATAATGACCACAGTCAAAATTATATGGTGGGTTCACATTAAATATAATTTGTAAGAAATAGTACATTAAAGTCAAAAAATTTTTAACCACTACATAGATTGTCTGAAATTTTTACATATATAAATTATACTGCCTAGGAATAATAATGTGCACATTTAACTATGATTTAATAATCTTAAGAACGATTTATTCTTCAATATCATCATTAATTGATGTATGTGCATTATACCGAAAGCACAATGAAAATTTAGAAAAGTACAAAATAAACACCCTCAAAAGTTTAAAAAAGTATAAAAAAAACACTCTAAATTTTGTAATTTAAAAATACACAAAACTATTAAACATTACATTGAAATCAAGGAATTACGAAAAAAATCATTAAAATTTTTTAAATTTTGGAGGGGTAATTTGCAATGTACTAAACTTTAAGGGTATTTTTTTTATAAATTTAAAATTTAATAGATTTTTAATTAGTTATGTTCTTTTCAAAAAAATTTATGGGTAATATTTACCATGAAAAGTTTTTTCTAAACCTATACTTTTAAAAGGTGTATGATATTTTTTACAAAATTTTACTTTTCTAGGGGTCATTAGAAATATTGCATATTCATTTCAGTGTCTATAGGTTAGAAATTCTCATTGAGTTTTTTCTGTAAATTATGAATTTTAAGGATATTTTATAATTTTTTAAACTTATAGGCATTTTCTACATATTGTAAATTATTTATAGACTATTAATACTTCCATGCTTTCAATTTACTACTGAATTAAAAAATTTTAGGGTATTTTTTGTAAATTTTGAATTTTAAACATTTGTTTGTAATTTTTAAAACTTTAAAGGTGTTTTCTATAAATTATAAATTATGTAGGGAATATTTATAATTCTTATATTTTAATGTACTGTTATGTCAGAAATTATCAGGATTTTTGTAAATTTTACAATTTTAAAGGTTTTATTTTATAATTTGTAAAAAGTTTAGAGTGTGATTCCAAATTCCATAAATTTTTGGGGGGTGTTTGTGTTATTTATAGGTTTTTAGTATGTTTATAAGTTTAACATTTTCAAGATGTTTTCTATAAATATTAAATTTTTAGCGGTGTTTTTGTAATTTTTAAAACTTACAAAATATTTTCTACAAAGTCAAAAAAACTTTAAGTTTCTAGTTTGCATATATTTTTTAGATTTCTCATTGAATTGAGGTAAGTAAAATTTATAATTTTTATGATGTTTTAATAAAATTTTGAATTTGTAGGGGAGTTTTTGTAATTTAAAAAATTTAGAGAATATTTTTTACAAAGCCCAAAAACTTTTAGGTGTTGGCTAGCATATGTTTTTTAGATTTCTCTATGAACTGAAATAGGTAAATGATTTGAATTATATGAAACATATCTATTTTATCCAATAATATGTTAAGTCTCATTATGATTAGAATAAATCATTTGATTACCAATTCAAAGAAGACAAGATAATTAGAATAGATTAAGATAACAATGTAATATTAAAAAAAACTAAGGATAATATTGGTCTTAGAAAGTTTTTTCCGATCTCGTACTTTAAAGAGAGTATGATATATGACATGAATAATACTAACTAAACGCTTATATTTATTATAGTAGTAGTAGTTTAGAATCAATAGTCTAGTTATCACTAGTTAGATATGGCATAAGCGTTTACTTTCTTTCCTTCCTTCTTCCTTCCAATGAATCTACCTAAATCTGTTAACCAAGGGGCAATCAGCCATGAGTGCAAGTCTAACTGGACGGCACTCAAATAAAATAGAAGTTGAAAATCGAATTCAAAACCAATTATTAGAACAAAAGAAAATTATGCACCTATCCACTTTGGATAAGTTAAGTTTCGCTTTGAGGCAACATGGTCTCAAAATTTCATACCCCTATACCTAGAAAGTGATCTGTTATATAATCATAAGCATCCGTTGTAAAGCACCACTAATTTCATTTTTTTTTTAATTTTCTGCTTTAAGGCTTAATTGCACCTAAATGCCTTATAGTTTCCCCTACTTTGCACTTATCTATCCTAAAAAAGTTTTTAAAATGGCGTTTATACATCCTCAGTTGCTTTGTTAGCGGTTATAAATCCTAATCTTATAGTTTCAAAAAACGTGCATTTAAATACCCTAAAGTTCTTAAAAACTGCACTTAAATACCCAGAGTTATGCAAACCTATAGGCATTCTAGTGCGCGTTTTTAAACCTCTAAGATACATAAGTGCTGTTAAAACAAGTTAAGGTATTATAAATACAAAATTTAAAAACTTTAGGGCATATAGGTGCTGCCAAAGACAAGTGAGGGATATAAGTGCAAAGCATGGGAAACTATAGGGTATTTAACTGCAATTAAATCTTGCTTTTAACTTAGACCTACGTCAATTGGAGCATTTGTTTGATAGATGATGGTGGGAATAAGAGTAGATATATGAGAGGATAAATATGTTTTTTTATTGATGGGTCCGGAAATTGTTGGAAGATATTATTCTCAGGGGAAGAAACGACAGCCTCTTTGGCCGCATCTCACATTAAAATATCTTACATATCCATCACTATTAGTTCGACGTTAGCTAATTTAATCGATGGACTTTATCCTTTGCTTAAAGAGCTCAAAAAAGAATGCTTTTCTTTCAATACACATCAACTTTGTGTTCGCAATATAGGACCATATAAAACTGTTCATAGTATAATAATACCTCTATTTGTAAAGTTGGTTAAAAGGGAATTATGGGAACAATCAACCAATTCAATAATTTAGGAAAAGAACCAAGCAATCTAACAACTATACAACTCAATAAATTTAAGAAAAAGCCTTATTTTATTGTTGGAAAGGCTCATGCCTGGAAAGTCACCTGATTTTTTTCTACACCATTTTCATTCCTTCAGCAACATTTTTCTCGAACATTATTTAACATAAACCACACTTTGTTCCCCAAATAAATAAACAAGAAAAATATAATAATATATGTTTTAAAATGTTTACTTCATGTTAGGTTCACATATGGAAATATTAAAAAGCAATTGAAGAAATGAAATAGACGACAATATTACAA